CAAAATTCTGATTGGCTAATTTGAATTTCACGCGCGTGAATTTCAAATTGACGCAGATTCCAAATTCACGCACAACATTAAAACATGTTGCTTTTACTTATTAATGTCTTCTTCTTTTAGAGATATGTGCTACATGTAAACAAGAAGGTCATTAAAGGTCAACATCCAAGAAATGTAAATCCCCAAGTTGGCTTGTAAAAACAGATTATTAAGGATGCTATGTTGACTCTACTGTGAAGATGTGATTTAATTCTTTTCTTGCAGAACCTGAATTACATTAGAGTTATTGCATGCAGTAATGGAAAAATCAGAATGGTTGCCGAGTTTAAAATAGCAGCATGTAAATGCCATTACTTTAACAGCCATTCTTGATTTTTTAGTTATTCTTGATGTAATTATTGCATGTTTCTGCATGCGACAATTGGTTCATTGTATGTCTGACTACAAAACAGATAATGGAAAATTTAGCATGTCTCATTTCATAGGCAGGCATACAATAAATAATCTTATTGAAGATGCGGTTGAAAGAATGGCATAAATTACAGCAGAAGCATCACAACTTGCACAGGCGCTAATTATATATTGTGTTGAAAATAATGTACCAGTTTCCAAGGTTAATTTACGATCACGGTTGCACAAGAAATTTTTTTACTACAGTCTGTCATCAATCAGCAGGTCAAGAAAATTCCCAAAGACCACATCATCGTCACTTATCAATCATGTATGTGGCACTAGAACAAGCCTTGGAATGATAATGGATACATTTACATTTATTTTCTTTTATATTCCCTTACTGTTATGTTTAAATACACTTGCGCCTGGATGATGGTAAAACTTTACTTGATTTGAAATCACAATAATTGTCTAAGGCCAAGAAGTTGTGATTAATCAAAGTAATAGTTTCCCCACTAGACTTGGGTTATTGTGGTGAGGTCGGAGAAAAGTTTTAATCACATCATGTAGAGTAGAAGAAACCTTACCTTTTTAGGAGAGATGTTCAAGCAAGAGAACAAATAAGAAGGCCTTCAGCTTATTTGACCTTGCACCCATCACCGGTTTCAAAAGCAGATGCATTCCAATCCAAACCAATGCTCTTTTTGATTTGGTTCATTCAATTGATTTTGCTGGCTTGGGAAAAAGCATGGACTAACAATGACAGAATTTGGAAATGATATCTTAAGCTGGTGGAGACTAACATTTAATATTGATAGGGTGAATACTTATTTTAATCTACAATATTTTCTTCACTTGTAAAACTCGATTCTTTTTTCAAAAGTGATTACATAACCTAGTGATGATACAAGGAGGCAAATATTTGGCCTTAGCATCGTGACAGATGCTGTGAGTGTTTCCATTCTTGTGACAAAGCCAACAATCCAGTGGAATGATGTGAATGACTATGATTTTGATCAAGATGGGTGTGCTGGGCTGGGTTCAGGAAGAAAAACCTTATTTGTTGCTTTCGTATGATGTGGATAGAAGAAAATTGATAAAGAAATCATACAGTGAAAATAATAATAAGAGATTAGTCAAATTGATACAAGATAAACTGATATTTATCTTAATTAAGTCTAACTGTATCTTGGAACATTTCAACAGCTCTTCCAACTTCATCTGTCACCTCAGTTGCTCAACAGAAAGAATATCTGCATTATTTCCTTGAGCACATTCCAACACTGCTTGAATTTCATAGTACTAGCATCATGAAATTTTCCCCGCCGCAATATTATGTCCATAAATTTTAATATGTAAAGTTGTAATATTTGCAATAAAAATTATGTAATATTTACACTTGATGTAATAATTGCATAATTTTTGTATGCTTATTTGCATAATATTACGGGCCCGCCGTAAACTTACGTAAATAGTGTAATAATTACGTAAATTTGCGTCAGAAAAATTTCCTGATGAGGCCCTATAAAAAATTTTGTCAGAAAATGTATGGTTTTTCCGTGCAGTTTGTATGGAATATGTACAGAAATATACACGAAAAGAGCGCTTTTCCATGCATATTTGTCCTATAAATGACCTGAAAAAATTACATTCCATGCATTTTCCGTAATTGCTATGCACAGAAAATGCAAGGAAAGTGCACAGGAAAGTGCACTGAATTTTAGGTCATTTTCCGAAAATTCATGTATTTTCCATGTATTTTCCATACATTTTCAGTGCAAATATGAACGGGAAAGCGCGGAAAATGTAAGGAAAGCCATACATTTTTTGACAAATTTTTTTATAGAGAGGCACTGCACAATCTTTGTTTAAGACACAGAAGCCTTACCATGAAATTGTTACAAGAATAACTGGTGAATGGCCAAGAACAGTTTCTCATCCAGTAGACGTAGAAATTTATCTGAACCTGAAAAATCATGTCGAGCTAGGAAATATGATGAATTCAGAAATTCCATTATCTGTTCTTGTTGTGATGGACAAATGGAGATTATTATTATTATTATTATTATTATTAAATAAATATATAAATAAATTCCATTTCATTCATTAATACATACATACCAATTCCTATTTTGAATCCTTAGAGTGAAAAATATATGATGAATAAATGCTAAACAAATCGGAAAAGTGTATAAAATAAACGTTATTCTAGTAAATATTCCCAAGGCTACAAGACAGCCAAAAAGAAACCCAAGATTTGTTGGAAATGCCTCCTAAAATCAATAAATATATATATCATATTTTAAATTCTGATTTGGTTGAATAAAATAAATTAAACAATAAAATAAATAATGAATTTTTTATATACAGATATATATATGTATATGTATATAAGTCCAAATGTTTCTTTTTTACCTTAATAATCGAGTTGTTTATTTGTGGTGAAGAACCCTTGACATAAATACAGAAACAAAGTGCAAAAACTATTGACTCAAAAGAATTTGAAAATGGCCTTGTATAAAAAGTTAAAAGAATATATGAAGAAGAAAAAACAAGCAATGATCGAAATGTATTTCTTGGATAAAATTTTTTAGCAATTGTGTATGCTGTATAATCTAAATCAAATAAATTTATAATAGATAAATTCAATTCTTCTTGAACCATATAATATAGATTGCAAATAAACAATCAAAAATTTTTCCTACCAATTCCAAAAGATAATATAAAATAAGAGATTCTTTCAGTTAAAAAAATTGATTGTGAATTAATTAAATCTATTAAAAAAGTAATCATTTTTTAAAAGTTTTGATCTAATTATATATAATTAAAAACCTAATCACCAACGCACACACATATATATCTATTTACTCATACCATTAAACCCAAGTTTCATTACAAGTGTATTTATAGTATTTAAAATGCTAAACGGAACTCCAATTGTCAATGCTCTGAAATAAAGAAAATATCTTTTAAACTTTTCTAATTCAATAAGATTAATAATAATAATAGTAATATAAAAAACATACGGAACAATTATAGATCTACATTGTGGACTTTTCTCAAATTCCCAAGGACGAAATACTTCATATCCGAAAATATCTTCTATAAATTTATAGTTGTTATTATTTAAAAAAAACATCATGTACCATATCATCATAAAATTTTATTTGGTTGATTAAAAAGCTCACCACCCATTATTTCAGGTGACTGAAAAAATTCATCAGGATGTATATATCCTGGTAAGGTTGAACTCCATAATCTTAAAAGACACGATAAAAAATAAAACGTCAAATATTGTATATCTTCTAGCATCATGTCAAAAAATTCTTGCTATACTACAAGGTTACACGAAGTCATATATATGGACTTTGTAGTGATGGTGATAAAAAAAAAAAAAAAATGAATTCAATATTTGAAAAATATTTTGATGAAAATGAAAGATTATTAAACACAGAAGATTTCTATGATGTAAAAATATATGTTGGTATAGAACCAAACACTCAAGAAGTTCAAGAAGTTCATGCACATGCACCTATCATATCAGCTCACTGTCCATTTTTTAGCAATGCGTTAAGTGATGCAACAAAAGAAGATGGATATTATATTATTGAAATAGCTAATATTAGTGACAAATGTTTCAAACACATTCTCACGTAAGTTTAAATAATATTATTTATTTATTATTATTGAATATATAATAATAATAATAATTTATTTAATAATTTATAGATTTTTGTACACTTGTAAAATTGAATTTGAAGGTTTTTCTGGAGCCGAAGTATTAGAACTATCAACTGCAGCATACGAATTTGGTCTAGAGTCACTTTATGAATATACGATGAAATACTTTATTGAAAATCATGAAGAGTATATAAAAAAAAACCCAGTTAAAGTTCTACAATCAATTTATGCCAATGAAAAATTTAACGAATTAAAAAACATCTATTTGGAAAATATTTGTAAATATAGCGAAGAATTATTTGAATCAAGTGAATTTAAATCATTGGAAAAATCGATTCTATTAGAAATCCTCGAAAGAGATGATTTTTATGTTGATGAGATGGTTATCTGGGAAAACATTCTTAAATGGGGATTAGCAAAACATCCTGAAATCAATAACATCAATGTTGAAGATTGGTCATCACGAGATTTTGTTGATTTAGGCAGCACGATAAAAGAATTTCTTTTTCTAATAAGATATGAGAATATTTCTAAAAAAGTGTTTTTTGATAGAATTGAACCATATCAAATGCTTTTTCCCAAGACTTTATGGAAAAACCTTTTACAACATTATATACTTCCAGATGAACATAAAACATTGAGCCGATCTTCGTCAAGAATTTCAAAATTGAATGAATCATCAACAATCAATCAAAATCTTACTTTGCTTTTTGCAAGTTGGATTGATAGAAAAAGTCCACCGTATACTTTACTCAAGGAAGTTAAATATGAATTTAAACTTCTATATCGTAGTAGTAGAGACGGTCTATATGCAACTACATTTCACCAAAAATGTGATAATATCCACTGCACCCTTGTAGTTAGTAAAATACAAAATTCGGAACAATTAGTTGGTGGCTATAATCCATTTAATTGGAATGGGTATGAACATAAAGCTACAACTGAAAGCTTTATATTTAATATAGTTGATAGAAGAAATGCCATTAATACTGCACAATTTAGTTATGTTGCTCATAATGATTATATGTATGCAGTTTATTGTAATCCTTCCAAGTTACCTTATTTTGGATATTGTGATGTTTGGTTTAGTATAAGTAATGGCGTTATTGGTAGTAATCCAAGGACTTATAATAATATCAATATAGTAAATGGTAGTAAATTTGATGAACTAGAAGTTTTTCAAATAATTGTTAAAAAATAAAAACAAAATGTGTTATATTATTTATTGTTATATATATTTTCGTTTAAATAGTTTATAAATCTTTGCCGAGAAAAAATTTTTTTACTAAATTTAAATTTCACATCAATGATAATAAATCAATTGATTATTTAATTGAAAGATGTGTGCATTATTTACTAAAATATTATTTTAGAGAATGTCTCTGATGTATATATGGTATATATGATTATACATAAGTTATAAATTACATCTCGAAGTGAATTATTTATTATAAATATTATTTAATGTATTCCTGGCATAAGAAACCTTGGGTAAAGTGAATCACCCCTATAATGTTTTTTTAAATCTTGAATAACAATATTCTTATAAAATCATCCAATAAATGTAAAATCTGGTTCACACTCATCTAAAATTATACCAATTAATCTATTCAGTCAAAGGTGAAAAGCACCAAAAAATTATTTATCACGAACTATCAAATTCTTTAACTTAAGAATGTATGTATATATATAGTGCAAGCAACTTCTGCGCCGCAGTGTCAATTTTTGAGGAAAAATTTACAATCAAAAATTTTTTTTTGATCCGATATTTTTGAGGGCATTTTCCCAAACCGGGCATTCTCCTAATATTTTTGATCATACATTTCGCGCCTACGCTTGTACCCTCATATTTCACCTGCATCACTCGCTTGTCCTTTCTAGAATCCCGAATAAAAGATGGATTTGACAAAGTTTTTGTTGTTGTTTCTGTTGATGGTTTATTATTAAGTATTTTCGAAATATTAATCGTGGTGACTATGACTGATTTAAATGTTTGATATTTATTTTAATATGAAAGGATCGTGAAAAAAAACATCATTATCTGGTCGTCTACCTTTGTAGTTTCGAAAGTCTAGCAATAATTATGGCATTTAAGCAAGATTTGGCGAAAAAAGCATACAAATTCAATATGAAATAGATTTTAAATTACCAGCAGGAGAGTAATAAAATTTTCCAAATAATTGTTAATTCTATACAAAGACATGTTTAATAGACATGTCCCTTGTTGACACGATGAAGTTGAAAGAGGTGATCTCTAAACCGTCTATAAAACCTAAAAGACCAATCAGAGAAGATGAGGTAACATTACTAAAGGATATCACTGTTCGATACTTATCAAAACCTGGCGAATTGGAAAGTGGACACATATGCAGAACAACCTAATAGAACGAAAAGGAATTGACTTTTTTCAGTAATTAATAATACTGCTATTTGTAAAATCAATAAATCGATAATTTTGAAAATTTTTTTATTGATATAAATGAAAAAACTTTCTGACAGACTGTTAATTGAATATTTGTAAATACAATTGCGGAAATATTATTCCAAGCTTACTTGGTTATTTGAACCTTTACATTTTAAAGTTTATAGTAAAATCAATAAAATTGATTGATAACTTTGAACCTTTATAAATATTTTTACTAATATAAATAAAAAAAAACTCTCTGACAGGCTATTAATTAGTGTTTGGAAATACAATCGTGGAAAGATTGTTCACAGCTTGCTTGGTTATTGAGCCTTTGCATTTTAAATCTTTGATGATATATATTAATGTTGTGCGTGAAAATCAAATTTGCGTCAATTTGAAATTTATTAATTTTGGGGTTAGGTGTTTGAATACAAAATTCTGATTGGCTAATTTGTATTTCACGCGAGTGAATTTCAAATTGATGCATATTCCAAATTCACGCACAACATTAACGTGTAACATAAAAAATCCTCACATACTAAATTTGTATATTAAAATAATATTAAAAATTGAAAATTTGGACAGAAATTGTAGTTTAATAAATAATCTTATATATGAAATCTTTTCATGAAAGCGATCTATGTCAAATTCTTTGTCAACTGCATTAATATCTTATCATTGTCATTATCATCATCATCGGGACTACTATCAAGACTATCTTCGGATCTGTCTCTATACTATAATAAGATATCACAAAATTAATCTACAACCTACTTAACTTGCTCTCTATTTGAAATAGAAGAATGCGACATTACCACTGAAAGTTCTACATAAAGCAGGTGATTCAATAATCACATAATTAGGATTAACACTCCGTGTCTTTGAATTAAAAGATATCAGTGGAGTATCATGACTAAAAATAAAAATATAGTTTGCTTTTTCCAAATTTAATATTATTTGTTATCACTAGAACCCAATCTGTTACTATACAACAAATTATTTTAATAATTTATTGTGATGTAAATAACCAAAAAAATTAACTCGCAAAACATTATTATTTTTGGTAGTAAATTTTTCTAATAAAGCCACATACTAATTTGTAACCATCAATATCGACCCATGCTGTTTTATGATGTTTTGTTTTTTAATAAAATGAAATAAATAAAATATGTTAGAATGCTAGATCCTTTTTTAAAAATGTTATGTTTAAATTAATAAAGCCAATAATCAGATTTAAAAGTATACAAATGATTATATTCTTATTTCTTTGGTCAAGTTCTCCTGAGATCAACAAACCTTTCGCTTCTACTTGGTTAAGACTTCCAAGACTAAAATTTGTATACAAAACTAATCCCTCAGAAATCAACGAACCTTTTGTACTATAACACAGACTACTATTGTTTTTGATACTAAATATTTCTTGAATTAGACCTAGAATCTACATTTTATGGTATCTACCAGGCTAAGATCTCAGGAAAAGCTTACTTTTTTTTTTGAGTATCATCGTTATATTTATTAATAATCATGGATATAAAAAAGCATGATGTTAATAGTGGAAATTGCCTCCTGGAGTTCTTGAAAATTTATTTTACCGAATTCAGTTAACTGCCTGTTGTCTTTTCTAAATCTTTTATTATAATATTTACATAATGATTTTGTTTTTTCTTCTTCTAATAGTTTCAAAGAATATAGCCTTGAGAAAAATAAGTCATAATTTCTTTTTCACAACTCATTCTATCAAGTAATGTAACGGGGATTTCTCTTTGTTGTGCAATTACAGATATTTTTGTATATTAAAAATTTTTTTATCATTTTTTTTTTGTGAACCTATATTAATTACTAAATTAATATATATATATATATAGTCACTATATGATCTTGTGTAGGAAATCTTAGGATTTGGTTTTAGCGATGGTTCTTGTAGTTGAGTAATCTGTTACCTGATGATTGATTATATTTGAAGCAACTATTTTAATTTTCGCGTCATTCGTACAGTCGTACAAATGGTGATTTGTTTACCACAACGCGCATCACACACCTATTTTTATTTTTCAAAAAATTTTTCATCAAAAAATTAACAAAATAACAAAATGAAAAAAAGGGTTTGTTGATATAAAGGTTTTCAATAATTAATTTATTTGTTTTTTAAAATATAAATGCCTAATACATTATCTAAATTTAATATGGAAAGACCGGAAAAGGTAAAAAGGTTAACAAGAACATAGAGTTTGAAAAGGTTACAGTGTTTGACAAGATTAAAAATATTAAAGATAACTCGATCGCTTTTAGAGTTAGAAAATTTAAAGAAAATCTCGCAGCACATCGTAAACAATTAGTAATTGATGTTTTACACCCCAACAAACCTCGTTTATCAAATCGTGAAATTCAAAATCAAATTTGTAAAATGTTTGGAGTCAACAAAGATGTTGTCTTTGTATTTGCTATGAGAACTACATATGATGGTAATCGTTCTAATGGGTTTGCATTAATATATAACAATGCTGAATTTGCTAAACAATACGAGCCTCGACACAGGCTTAGAAAAGTAAACAATTTTTATTGTTAGGAATAATTGATACATATAATTTATCGATTATTAATGATTAATATATATATTTATTGATTAATTATAGCATGGTATTAAACCACCCATACTACCTCCTAAAAAACACTGCAAGAAACCAATCAAATATAGAAAAAATGCAAAGTGCGCTTAAAATGCCCGTCTCACTATCTTCAATTGCATCAATTGACAAAAGTAGTTATTTCATGTGAATTTTTAGATGAAAGTGAGCTAATTAAATAATTTTTTTTTCTTAAATATTCCTCTTTTTGCCAAAAAACACATCATTTTTTTTCATAAATGTAAATTTATTCATACTTCTTAATAATAAAAGAAAAAATTTCAGATGCCATAAATTCTCAACTCACATAGTTATAGTTCACTCTCTCTATAACGGATCTCTCTATTGCTATTTTTCTATGATGGATCTCTATTTCTCTCTATAATAGATCTTTCTCTATAAAGAACTGAGAGATTAATCCCAATTTATATATCCCATATATAAATCATTGCGGACATTTTTTTGTAAGCCAAATGGTTCCATTATAAAGGGTAAACTGTATAAATCACTTGATATTTATTAAGTTAAAATTCATAAAAACAAAAAGTAAAGTCTAATATCAATAAATTTGTTACTATGTGTATGTATATATCTATACTTCAGATAGTTGTGATTATATTTAAATAATATATTATTGTCCCATAATTATTGGATTTATTATTTTGTATGGATCTTGTTCTTCCTGTACCATTACCATCTAAGAATCATTCCTATAATCTTCTATTCTAGATGGTTACATTTTGTAGAGTTATTCATAATTACCAGTGCTTTTTTTTTAAAAATTTTTTTTGCATTTTAAACGAAAAAAAATTACCCTTCTTTACTGGTGCATTAAAAAATCATATAACACAGCCTTGAAAATAGTTAACAGGTGCTATTTTCATTTATTAAATAATTTTTCTTCTGATGTATTATTGTTGCTTTATTATTATTTACATATGAATAAAATGTAAAGGAAGGGCTTAATATATACCCGAGTGTATATGTAATTATTTGGTCACCTCAGTATCTTCATATTCTTCTTGTTCTTCAATTTCTTGCATTGGTTGAACAACTTGTTTTCCTTCCTCACCAGTATCAGGTAATTCTGGCCTAAGATAATTACCAAGTTTATCATAAAATGAATCATCCGTTATTTGGTATTACTATTGTTGAATTTTGTTGATACGATATTTTAAAAAAATTTGAAAATACGGTTATAATGAATGTGTGCGACCAACCACCTAAATTTGTTGCACGTAACAAAAAGCTCGTTGAGATAATTGTTCTTCGTTACAAAAAAAAAAAATTAAAATATGATAAATATAATAATATAATAATATAATAATACAATAATATAATAATAATAATGATAGTAACAAATTTATGACCTGACTAATCTCATATTATGCTAATTCAACATTTTTTGGTTGAGGTTTATTTCTTTTTAATTTTTTAATAAGCAAATTTCTCTTTTTTGTGACAAATTTTTTTTTTAATACATATACATCCAAATAACAAGACTTGTATTTATACCTTTTAGAGCCTCATAAAAATATTTAAATTACATAAAATTTTAAGTTGCAGAAATAATCATAATAATATTAAAAAAATGTTACACATGTAAAAAGGGGATGCT